CCAGGCCTTGGGGAAGAGTTGAAGGGAAAGGGACCCAGAGCTGAGGCCCAGGGAGCGGAGAGCTGTCAGTGGCCATCGGTGCTGAAAGCCGGGGTGCGCCCCACCCACCGGGAGAAGGAGCCCGCCTGTCCCTAGGCCTGCCCCTCGACCCCAGGTCACGGGGGTTCAGGCAGAGTGCGCGCTCCCGGACTGTCCTCAGCCTGGGCAGACCCTGCAACTGCCTGCTCTTCCCACGCGAGGAGCGCGTTTCTGGGAAAGGGAGTTGGACCTTTCGGGAGAGGCAGGGTGTCTCCTCGTGACCTGATCCAACCCTCCAGGCTCACCGGTTCGCTTGGGGGGAGTCAGGCGCGGTACCGCTCTCTCCATATCCACTCCCTCCCCAACTTTTTCTGGGGGACCTCAGTGCGGGATGGAGAAGAGGGTGCGGCTCCCGGTCTGGGAAGCAGCCACCCCCCTCCACTGAAAGTGGGTCCCCCTGCCCACGACAAGCACGTGAAGGGGGAGACCAGCACCCCTCCCCCAATTCCTAATAGTGTTTCAAGGCGCTGGATAGACCGTGATGGGGAGCAAGTAGGGGGGAGCCCGCTCAGGTCCCTCACTGTGACCTAACATCTCCTCTCCCCCTATCCCACCCCACGGCACCCCGGGCCAAGTTCTGGGAACCCCGAGCCCCCTCAACGGGCCTCCAGGCAAAAGCCACACCCAAGTCCCGCTCCCAGACACTTGGTTGAGATCGGTCCTAAAAGCGGGTCCCTGGGCACCCAGACCCAAGGTGGGGCATGGGGTCCTGGAGTGGGAGGGAGGGAGCAACGCTGTGCCCCCCTCCCACCTCCCATCGCGCTGTTGGAGTCTAGTCCTCAGTTGCAGAGCGGGTCAGCCCCGCTTCTCCCCCAGAAAGGGTGAGAATTCTCTGGCGCCAGCCCCGGGTGCAGTCTCAGGGAGCTCGGGCATCTGGGGTTCGGAGCCACCCACTCCGAGGGGGTTCTCCGGGGCTGCCAAGGGGAGTGAGCCCCGCAGCCCAGGCCGGGGAGCGTCGGGGTC